GTCCAGTACTAACCTGTGAAGTTGGCGCCTTGATGCAGGTACCACGAAGATGGAGCTGGAGCGATGGCGCCACAGGTAAGTACCACTGGCCTCCGCCAGTCTCTCTCCCACTCTACGATCTACCACCTACCAGCGCCCAGCGCTGAAGACTACAGCTACAGCTATGGCGCCCAACGCCGAAGACTACAGCTAGCGCTAATACCTACTGCCTAGCGATGAAGACTACTGCAGCGCTCCTCCTGAGTGCTGCGGCCCAAATCCTGAAGACTACCCGTGCCTACTGACCACTACCTACCCGTGAAGTGCATGGGAACTTCCTATGTACTACGGGTGTGCCTCCTGAGCCTGCCGAAGGGAGGCAGGGGCTGCAGCTGCAGCTCCTGCTCAAACTCGTGAGGAACAGGCTATTTCTGGCCTGTTCCGCATCCCTGTTTACGTGCCTGAGTCTTAGGGGCAGGTCGAAACAATGAGGGCATGAAAATGGCCCTCCGTTTCAGGCTGAAAACTCTGGGTCTGAAAAGACTCAGAAATAGGCTGAAGCGGGGTAGGGCCGGCAGGCCCTCGTTTTTCAGCTTCCAGGCTGAAACGAACGGGGCTTGTAAGCCCTAAGTTTTAGGCTTTTAGGCTGAATGTCTGGGACAGGCCCTGCAGGGCCCGTGTGGCTACGCACTATGCCACACCCTCCCCTCCTTGAAGAACCGAGCTTACCTGCGAGGGCGAAGCTGTCTGTCTGAGGGAGGGACCACAGTCCGGGTGGGAGGGGCGGGTCATGAAGCTTCCTGAGCTAACCTCCGCTTTTCATAATGCACGTAGATCAGCGGTGCAGATGCTTTCAAATCTGCTCCTGAAATCCACCGAGTGTCGTCGCGATCGCATGCTTTGAATATGACTTTAAACTGTCGCGGCTTGCTGCCGTACTTGCGATCGGAGATGACGCGGTCAACTTCCTGATGGCCATCCATAGAAGGAGGGTCCTGCGATCGTCGGTCCGAAAAGTCGTCGCTCTTGGTTGGCGTGTATGTTGCCAGCTTCGAGACGTGGAAGACCGGATAGACCGTCAGATGCTCTGGGATGTTGATCACAAATGAAGGGCCATCGGGCTCATCGCCCGCGGCTGCTGTCACAGACCAAGGTCCAAACCACTTGGGAAGCAGTTTGCGTGAAACATCCTGTTCCAGTGCAAACTCTTCCGCGGAGACCCAAACCAGATCACCGGCGCGGATGGGACATGGTACGCGACGCCTGTTGGCTTGCTGCTGCATGCGGACTTGAGCCTTTTGCATATTTGCGCGGGCTTGAGTCAGCAATTCCCTGTACTTCCGGACGGAAGCGGGAGAGCAGGCAGCGTCAATGTCGGCTGGTCGAGGGAGGAGAAGGTCTGCGAAGATCCGGCCTTTCCCGACAAAATCGCGGGCTCACAGTGAGCCCTTGATCTGGCCAGGATCAAAGGCTAACTGTGGCTGCACGACAACCACAGCCTTAGTGGGGCGAGTTTTTTAACTGCCCTATCTTTCTTTTCCTGTTCTTTTCCTCAACTATCTCGGATTTTGAGGTCATGGCATTTCTAAAACTCCTTTTCTTTTATTTTTTTGACAAGGGGTTGGAGAGATACAACCCCTTTCAGTTTGATGTATCTGGACCTGTTCCCCAGGGCAGATACATCAGGCAAAAGGCTGTACTTAGCCTTTTCATCTATGACCCTTCAGTTTTCAGGCTCCCTCTGAAAACAAGAGCCTGACAGTTACCTTTGCTTGAGGTAGCACCTCGTGAGGACAAATGTGCTCACGATATGCTGCAAAAAGAATAAAAAACTAAGAGAAAAAGAATAAAACTAAATCTAACTCCACGCACCTGTTCCTTACCTTGGCTAGGTGCATGTTGTTGGAACCAACAACATTTTTTCCTTTTTCTCTTTGCCCTCCCCTGAAAATAGGGAGGGTAGTTGTCGGGTTGGGAGAAGTCGGTCCTCCCTCTCCTAGCCTCCCGTTTTCCTCCCTCTTCCTCTCTCCAACTCCCTCAACCTCCATCTTCATGCGTGCGGCGTGGGCCGTGAGATCTTAGATCTCGAGGTCACGAAAATTTGCGTCAAAACAAGAGTGGGAACTTTTTTTGCTCCAACGTAGCCAAGCAGGTTATTGTCCCAACTGTGAGGCACTAAGGCCTCGTTTTTTTTTTTTTTTTTTTTTTTTTTTCCACTGCTTTTTGGTTGCTTGTTCCAACCTGTCCTTGTTTTCCCTGCTGCTTTTCCCCCGACGGCCACGAGGGGAGGGGAACGAAAAAAAATAAAATAAAATAAAATCCAACAATACAGCAACCCGTTAAAACGGGCGCCTGTCACGACTTGTTTTTACGCCACTTGGGGCTGCAACTCGTCGAAGCGAGAGGGGAAAGCAATGTGCGACAATGCATATTTCCATGTTCTAGCGGTAGATTCATTCGATTTTGCTCATCCTATCGATGGAAGTAGCGTGCGGTCAACTGTAGGTAAGTTGGCGACCCCCCCCCCCCACTCGCCCCCTTCCCTCACTCTCTCCCTCTCTCATGCACACACACACTAGGGTAGTTGTGTATATTTCCATGTTCCAGGGTAGATTCCGTCGATTTTACTCACCCTATTGATGGAAGTTGCGTGAGACAAGTCGCGCGGCTTGAAACTTTGCCCGTTCGTTTTTTCTACGACCGGGTGTTTTAGCAGCTCGTGAGAAGGAATAGGGGAAATCTAAAAAAGAAAAATCTAAAGATATAAAATGAAGATTCTAAGATAAAATCCAAAAACCGAAAAAAAGAAAAAAACAACTCACCTGGAAAGAATGGTTGCCTGTTTTCAACGGGCGCGTGGTGTCTTTTCTGTGGACTGTAAGTTCCCAGCCACATAGCTACGCGCCATCTGGAGATTTTAGCTTGTTTTTTTTCCTTTTTTTTTTTTTTTTTTTGAAAAACCGTGGGCATGAGGCCAATGACAACTCCCAAGTGTCCCCCCCCTTCGAAATCGGACTCGAGTTCGAATCCACTTTTGGGACTTTTTTCTCGGCTTATGCGTGTCATCCTTGCGCGGGGGCCATGTAGTATCCGCGTGGCCATTTTCGGCTGTGTGATCTAGAGATCTCGCGATCGAAATCGACCCCGCCTCACGCCGACCTCGATGAAGTAGGGCATCGCCGGGTTCGATCCCGGTATCCGCTCGGTGAGAATTTGGCATGTTATCCTATCCGGCTGGCTCCTATTTCATATTAGGTAGGAGCGGCTCTTTTATATGAAGGGTTATGCCCAATAGCGACAACCTTCAAATAGCCTGGCAGGCCTCCGCCTGCCCCTACCATTCAAACCACCTAGCGACGTCTACCAAGCAAATGCTCGTCCACCATGCTAGAGTAGGTTGCAGACCCTTTATTGCACCGTCGCCGGTTCGAGTTTCAACACTGCAATCCCCCATATAAAATAGGTCCGAACCCCCGAACGTTTACACCGCAGCTCAATGCGGCCACCCTTTTGGGCTCAGTTAAACCCTCAATTGCGCAGCTTAACAACCACGCGTCACAATTTTTCCAAACAAATTTTTATTTTAGCATCCCCATCGTCGTTTGTCCATCCGGCCTTGTTCAACGCAAGAGTGTTTGGTTACACCGCCCACTCTCGTCGTCATATATGTCGGTAGTTAGACGTCTACATACTTCAATTCACGAAGGAGTCAGAATACGCCTCAGTAGTGCTTCCACTTCCTCAAGCCAAACCAAAACTTACGTTAAAAATCAGACAGCATCTGACATTGAAAATATAGGGCAGATACCCTTGTCAGGGTTTCTGCCTCGACAGCACGAACCCGTATATGTGCATTGTTAGATCCAAGTTCTATGTGATCATATATCTAAGAAAAGGCAGATCGTAAATTGCATCTAGGAATGAGAGTGCAGGACTTGCCGAGACCTATCACGTCCATGCTTGCCGATAAAAGCACGATAATTGTCTCTTAGTTTGTAGATCGTGTGAAATGTTATTTGAGAACTAAGGAAGGAAAATAAATTTTGCATGAAGTAACCTTCCAAGTAGAAAAGAATCTGCCTTTCGACATGATTCTGGGAATGGATTGGCATGAAGAGGCTGACCTAGAAGTCGAGTTCAAAGACAAGGTTGTCAAGCTAAGGGATGAGAAATCAAAATTAGAGTCAATCTAATTGTTTCACAAGTCTGGTTATGACTCATCATCGTATTTCTGTTGTACGAGTCTACATGCTTTTCGAAGTATGGTCACGAAGAAGAAGCTGGCACAGGACGTAATGATGGTTCTCGTTAATCGAGTCGATGACTGTTCTTCGTCCTATCCTCCTTTTATTGATACAAGTGGACCCCGCCACGGCTACGCCGTGGCGCACAGCAACACTCGCTGATGGCGTCTCATTTTTCGTTCATGTCTCTTTCTCTCTCTCTCTCTCTCTCTCTCTCTCTCTGTGTGTGTTTCTTCCCGCGTTGTGCTTGGCGGGTGTCGGTGCTTGTCGTCTGCTCTGCCTGTCTCTCTCTCTCTCTCTCTCTCTCTCTCTCTCTCTCTCTCTCTCTCTCTCTCTCTCTCT